GAGATTTTCATTAGGTGTATCATTTTTATGTACTGTACATGAAATCTGTTCATTGTCCTAATGGAGCAACTAAACACTTTTATCACCTGTATCTTTAGATACAGATGGATAGATGGAAACTTGTGCCACCTGTGGATGCATAAATACCATTAACTGATGGAATATCAATAATGGGTGTTAATAAGTAAAACTAGACAATCAATATCATAATCATATTTATTTTATTCTGTTGCTGTATTAATACAATAAGTACAATTAATTTTCATAGCAGGTGTTGACATGTTTCCAACCTTAAAAATTATACCTCCCTTTCCATAAATCGTATAAAACTAATAGGCATGAATTAAGGAACATTGATACATCATGGATACAGCTTCTAAAATTATCTCAAAATCACACATTTTTGGGAATATTCACAATTGTTACTCTTACTGACATATTGACGGAGAACTTACACATTATTATATAGTACCAATTTAAAGGCTGATTTTTGAAATTTTAGGGAAGGAGGTAATTCAAGCTCATTAAAGCACATCAGTAACAGCTAATAGCAACCAGTATATCATACTTATTATGAGTAACAGCTGAGTAACAGCTTTCATGTCTTGACTATTTTATTATCATAATAAAAATAATAAAATTAATAAAACCAATCAGACTATATTATGACGCAAATGAACACATTGGAAAAAAACTATTTGAAAATACATTTTGTTTGTTAATTATTTATGGACAGTTATAGCAGTTTTAGAAATAATAAAACAGGTCTGAAACATGTAAGACAGATAAGAAGGATAACAACTAAGATTCACAACTAAGGTTCCTTTCTACCAGCTGGTCCTTGGTTAAACCTCTTGGCCTCCCAGATTATCTGTCCCCATTGACAGCGGTGTGGACTGGAATTGAGTGAAGATGACTTATTGAAAGTCACGCCGATCGAGATTCAAACCCACAACTGCCATTTGTTTGACATAATTAAGCAAATGATGACATATTTAGAACCAACTCTAACTGACTGTGCTATTGAACCCCACAGAATTTCACATATCTTCTCTACATATCTATTTCAGAATGTTGTCTGAAGATGACACAGCATGAAACTCTAGCAACATGTGTCAAGTTCTGTTTTCATATTTCTATATTGCTCTACAATTGATGTTTTGAGCACAATATTAACATTATTAATATATTGTTATGGATGATATATCTATGTAAATGAGATATTGATATCTTATTGTGCGTCAACAGGTTGTGTAGTTATCAAGGAAAATGATCTCTCACGCACACATGCATACAATATTTATTGAGTTAACACAGTTTTATTAGCTTTTTTTTGTCAAAGATTTTTTTACATGTATGCATTCTGGGAAAGCTTATTTTAACCCTCTAAAAATACCATAATATAATTATTTTACACAGAAGACAAAAGACGACCTCAAGACCGTTTTTCAC